TATATGTACATTTTTAAAGAAATGTTGCTTAGAGATGTGTTTTCCATATAGTTTTCTGATACATGTTGTGTGGAAACTAAATTTTTATTTGCTTTAAGACCTTGAGAGTTCTTAGAGGTGTCAGCTGCTTGATTTGGGGTTGAATACATTTAGTATAATTCTTTGCACAAAACGTCTAATGGTAAACTGAAATCATTTATGACATAATTTAGTGGCTCTTCCCTTTTTCCCCCCTTTGGTATATTTACCTAAAGAAAACCCTTTGAAGTAGGGGATTCCAAAATGTTGACAGTATTTGAAATAAACTGCTTTTTTCACAGGGTGGAGTCAGTTGGCTGCTATGCACTGTGTCATGCTGCCGGACCTGCTGGGGTTGGACAGATTCAGGCCCCCACTTCTCGAGATGCTGGCCAGAAGGTGGCAGGATCGCTGCTTGGAGGTAATGGCGATACGACATGGCTAGAGAACGAAAATATGAAAATGTAAATGACTAAAATCAAGTTTAAGGTCAAGTATCAGTTTTAAACAAGCTTGGTTAATTCTGTGTTGTTTACATTATCATCTCTTTGCTGTATGATAGGACAGATGGAATAGGGAACTCCATGGTTTTCTGCTATAGGTTACGTCCTAGACAGTAATGTTTCCGTTTGCTCATTTATTCTTGTTTTGATCTAGGGGCTGTTTGGTAAAAATAATTTCAGATACTTCATGGAATTATTTCTTAAGTATTTGTTTTTCTACATATTGTACATACAGTTGCATGCACACATATTCACACATACATACATCTGCTTCTCTGAAAGCACACAGGTACAGTTGTTGTTGTTGTTGTTATGTGCTGTTGAGTCAGACCTGACTCACAGCGACCCCTCCTTGGGTTTCCAAGGTCACTGCGGAAGTAGAGTGCCCAGCCTTCCTTCCAAGGACTGGCTGGTGAGTTTGAACCGCTAGCCTTCAGGTTAGCAGTCAAGTGCCTTTAGGCACTGCACTGCCAGAGCTCAGTTACATCAGTAGAATTCTAAGTGAATATGGCCAGTGCTGTATTGTTGTAGAAGGAGGAGGTCTTTGAATTTAAGAGAGGCCTGGGTTTAAATATCAGTTCCACCAATTATTAACTTTGTGACCCTGGGCAATTTACTTAACCTATTTGAGGTTCATTTGTAAAGTAGGGATAATAGTATATTCCTCATGGGATTGCTTTCTGGATCAAATAAGATAATGCAAAGAAAACAGTAAGTCAGAGCCTGATACATGGCAAGAGCTCAGCCAGTGGTCGTTGTTTTGTGTTAAAGCACTTATGCTATATTAGACCTTGTTGAGGGTATAGTATCACCAGGTACTTGGAAATATCTTAGCGAGATTTTCCTTATTATAGCTCTTGACCTCTATAGCAGTATCAGTATGTGTCATTCAAGATCTGTAAAAGTACAGAGTGTAAATAACACTTGTATTTGGCAAATTGTAAAAATAACATTTGTATTTTCCCCTTTCTTAGTGTCTCTTACCTCAGTTCCATGTGGGATTATAGCATGCTAAAAGGTCGGGCAATCTACTTCTGTAGTGATACTGCCTCGGAAACTCAAGGAGGGGTCGCTGTGAGTCGGGGCTGACTCGATGGCACATAACAACAACAACAACAACAACAAAATTTTCCTGGTTTTATGTGATTCATCCAAAAGTCAATTGGACGTTGACAGCTTTGTACTCAGACTCTTACTCAGCTTCTGCTGAGTTGTTTTTCCAGTTATTAATAGTTGATGCATTGACTGGTATATCACTTGATAATCGATTGGCTTCTTTGACCTGTGGCCCTTTTGCCAAAAGAATAAAAAGAAAAGAAATAAACCTGGAAAATGTAAGTTATATGACACATTGAAAGAAAAATTGAGATCATATAATTTGCAAAAAATGATTTTCTTGTATGAAAACAAAAAAGACTGTGCTGTTACACATGAATATATTTGCTCCTGTAGTGAAAACAGTCTCAGCTTGGCATGGATATGCATCAATTGTAAGTGTAGGGTTACAGATATGTTTGTGTAAATATATTTAGCATGTATAATTTAAAATTCACTAGATAGGGCTAAAAAGTTTACTAGATAAAAAAAAAAAATTCACTAGATATGGCTAAAAGAGAAACCAAATTTAATAGTTCTGACAGTGATGTAACAATATAATTTATGTGGAAATTTAAAATGAAAAATGCTTCATTCAAGTGCAAGAATGTTTTAAAAGCTTTGGAAAATAAAGTTTTAAACCAAAATCTGATGAACTCTTTAGACAGTTCTGTCTGCTAGCGTTAATTAACATGTCTTTGATTTGCTGTTATGCATTCTGTTCTACTTTTAGTACAGACAGTCCCCAGGTTGCGAATGCCCGATGGATGCTTTGGAAAATGAAGTTTTGTGCTGAAATCTGATTCACCATTCAAACAGTCCTGTCCAATAGTGCTAAAGTATTTTTCTGCGGGTTACACATGTCCGACTTACATACAGCCCATAGTTAGGGACCAGTCTCTGTAAAACCTATTATATTAAGAATCTGAGATACCTTCAATGGTTCATAATAACAAACGGGGATTACTTTGCTATTATTATTATTATTGCTCTCTTACTATGTTAAAGATGTTTTAGTGTATCTGGAAGTGTTTCTTTAATTTTTTTTTTTGCATAGGAAAGTACACTATAAAGTAAGAGAAACAGTTCACTAACTGATGTTAGATACAAACCATACCTAACTGTTGTGACTTACGTACAAATTTGACTTAAAGGCAGATTAGGAGTGGAACTCGTTTGTAACCCAGGACTGCCTATACTTAATTCCTTATTTACTAGTAGTTTTTCTCATAAATAAAATGTGGTTTCTATGTGTACTAGTTTTAATACGTTATGAACTTCCGGGTTTATGATAAACAGTCACTACCTCACCAATGGGCATACTTCTTTTCTTACATTTCGATCTGTGGCTGTCTTAGGTCAGAGAAGCTGCCCAGGCCCTTCTGCTAGCGGAACTGAGAAGAATTGAGCAGGCGGGACGAAAGGAAACCATCGACGCCTGGGCTCCTTACTTACCTCAGTACATGGACCATGTCATATCACGTAAGAGTTTGCGTGCTTTTTCACACTTGTGTGTAGAAAAGCACCAAGAGTCACAAATAAATCTGCTACTGCCTATCCACAAGAATGAGTACAGGTTGTCCCTGGTTTACAATGACAGAGTCCCGTTCCGATGACTCTGTCCTAAGTTGGTTTCAACATTAAGTCAAATATTTCATTTTTCAATTTTCTTTTGTTTTTTGTTGTTTTTGCCTTTTATTATCAGTATCTTTATTTGTCTTAGAGGTTGGAAACATTACATATAAACTTACAGATATGATGACATCACTATGTATACACTGCCGCACCGTATGTAGTATACAGTACTAATCATAAGATGTACCTCAAAAAATACAAAACAGAACAGACAAAAACAACAGCAGATGGTGTAAACGTAGTTCATGTTACTCGAATATGTCCTGCGTTGGGGACTACCTAGAGTGTACCTTATCCTGAAAACCAGGGATCCCCAAATTCTGGTTGCCCATTTTCTGAATCCCCACAGCTTAGAGTTTGGTAAGGAAGCACAAATTATATAATATCAAAATATTCACTAACAGAATAATAAAATTAATCCCTGTGGTGGTTAAGTTTGTGTATCAACTTGGCTGGGCCTGGTTGAGTGGCTGGACAGCTGAGTGTTTATTCCCCATAGGGAGATTGCTGATCAGCTCCATGGTAAGATCTACCACAAGCAGCTGCGTAGCTGCTTTAGGGATGTGGTCTGCTTCCCATACATAAGAAACAGCTTTGGGAATGGTCTCTAGCTTATGGCACACTTGAACCCTGCACATAGCCATGTCATTGTTCGGTACCCTGCTATGCTCTACTCATCCTGGGACTTGAATTAATGGCCTACTGTGTGGTTTGGTAACATCAGGACTGTGCCATGTTATGTTGACCTTGGGCTTGTTAGCCTCAGCAGCCAGTAGCTGCCTGAGTAAAGAGATGCCTCTAGCATCAGTGGGGCAGGAGCAAGAGGCAGAGCTGAAGCCCTAGGTTGAGGGGCTTTTAGATAGTCCCTAGAGTCTGACACTTGGAACTGGGACTTCTGGCCTCCCAAACTGTAAGAGAATAAACTCCTGTTTGTCAAGCCATCTCATTTGTGGTATATTCTTGTCAGAGTGACACTAGGTAACCGGAACTATCCCCAAATGCCCTATCTTGTTAATACCAGCATCCGTCTCTGCCTGTTGCATTATTATACATACAGGTGTGAACTTGTTAGATACTGTTCTAATGATGTGCAAGTGCAAATATAAGGCAGGCCTTTGCAAGCAGAAGTTGTGAGTTGAGAATCCTTGAAAAATAAAGATCTGGCACAGGAAGACCAGTATACTATTAAAATGAAAAAGTTAGCAAAGATTTGGGGAAAATTGTTGACTTTTTTTTTTTTTGGATACTGTTTTGCAAAAATAGCATCTTTTGCAATCATGCTGCAAGTCAAAATGGTCATTGAAGTAAAGTTATATGGTGACATCATTTCTGTTTCAGATAAAGCATACTACACCCTCTATTGGGAGCTCTGGTAGCGTAGTGCCTAAAGCACTTGACTACAAACCAGAAGGCTGGCAGTTCAAACCCACCAACCACTCCTTGGAAGGAAGGTTGGGCAATCTACTTCCATAGTGATGCTGCCTCAGAAACCCAAGGAGGGTCGCTATGAGTTGGGTCCAACTCGACGGCACATAACACAACAACAATAACAACACCCTCTATTTATTTGACATATTCTTTGTCCTTCTTAAAAAAAAAAAAACCCTCTGCAAAAAGGGCAAGGAGGCTACATGTACATGTTTTGACCTCCTCTAACCCCACAAGAGGAAGACAGAATCACCATCAATAGCCCAAGGCCTATTACTGCAAGGCCAGACATGCTGCCTCCTTCCTACCCTTTCACCAACCTTTCCTCCCAAAGT